AAAAAAAAAAAAAAACACTACCTTGATAATTCATGTATGTTTGGCTTCAGATTGATTTTTCTATTTTTCCTACTTTCATCACTCCTATTGTGCTATTATTAAAAACATCAACACCCCTAAACAAATTCTAGGTAGATTTGAATAAATTATTACTCGTATCTACTCTTGGTATTTTGTAAATATAAGCTGATTTTTTTTTACTATTTTATCTTACCTCTCTGATAAGTTTATCCAACTGACCAATAACATGGGGTGGTGTTGTCTGGAGATAAACAAAATAAAACATGAGTCTAGGGTTAAAAATTTTTTGGCAACAGTGGTCCTGAAACTAAAAAGTTGGGTTTTATACCAGTCTTTGCTTTGTTTGACACGTGTCCTACAATGATTTAGCATCACTAGTGGGGAAACACGAGGAATCAATCCATAATTACTTTTTACCTCACAAAAAATTACTATCTTTAGATATAAGCCTTAACCACTTAGTCAAAAATTTTTTTTAGTAAGATAACATTTTGTGCAGGGCATAGCACTATATAGCTAGTACCTTATTATTATTAATGCTATGGGGATGGAACAACTACCTGTAAGTTTTAGAAAAGTTATAAAGACAAGACAGGAGGAAAAAATGATGCTTCCATCTACAGGTAAACTATTTCTATTCAGGTTCTTGTCCATTGTTTCAGTAAGTAATCTGCCATTTTTAATTTTAAGTTTGAAATTTAAAAGCCTCACAGATTAAATGACAGGAAACTTCATCAAATCATAAAAACAACAAAGTTTTTCAATTTATGATTTTGTCTTATAAAATACAGAGATTTTTACCTATTTTATAGAGCAATATAATTTCATTTAGTTCTTACTACACAAATTTCAGAGATTATTATTTGACTTTTTAACAGCTCTCTCCAGTGGCTAAAAACTTTACAGTATTGTAGAAGAACACACACAGTGTTATAATTTGTAGAAGAACATGGCTAATATGAAGCAAGCATGCTCAAAGAATATCCTTACCTGCAGTAATACTTTCCCACTGTACACGCTCATGGGATACATGGTACCAAATGTCATCAGAGCGATAGCTATGGCAGAAGCAGTGTCTACAGCAAAGTAATTACTAGAAGGAAAAGAACAATTCTATATCTTAAATGCATGTCTCACTGGGCATCTTCTAATTTAATCTAAAGGACATTAATTATCACAAGCAATAGGATTATTGTATCAAAATTGGTCACTGTTGGCAAACGGAATATCTCAAAGGAAAATGAAAAGCTTCTGAATCATTTCTTGACAAAGTTCACTGAGAAACAACTAATACCTATGCTAATGTGAAGAAAGATGGTAAGAAAAAGTGAGTATTTTCCCAAATATATTTGCAATCTACTTGTCAACTAGAAAGATTTCCTATCTATTCATTTGTCATAACAAATAAAAATCTCTAGCTAGCAATTTCTCACAGACTAAGGAACTTCACTGATTTTATCAAAATTTTTTCGATAAACATAACTTTCCAATAATTACTATTAATTTTTTTCAAAATTTCCCAAGACATGATTTTCAAAGATTGTTATAGCAATGTACTGGTTGAAGCAAAATATTCTCACACTGGCTTCAATTGTTCTATGAACAGGACAGACCAAAATGCCAATGGTTACAAGTTGATCATGAATTCTTGTGTACTTTTTCTCACATGCTGGGAATAGAAACATAGTCCCTCCCCTTGATAACAGGAGGTACACATGTAAAACACATCAAAGAACACTGAGGGAACCAAGGAAGCTGACAGGTCA